CAAGCTGGTGGCCGTAAAACACACACAAAGCGTTAACGGACAAGTCTGTTACCAAAGAAAGGACAGATTGGAGTTACTCAGCCCTCCACTAATCACACTAGTGATGAATTACTTTGCATATTTGGATTACACTAGTCATATTTAGTATGTGACTTTAATCAGAGTGACTTAAATTACAGTATTGTGTGTTTATCAAATATTTACAGCTACCTGTCAACCTGGAATTATTAGCTTGCCTTCCTCCACATGGACCTGATCAATATGCATCGTCACTCATTGTGCCCAACTGGGACTCACTCAGGCCTGGCAGTAGGCTGAGTATGATGCAACATCTTGCAATAAACAATGTGCCGTCAGAGTGTGTAACACAGAGGCCAGCAGCGAACCAAAACATGCACACACATGCACAAACACAGTTTAATAGAAACAAAAGAGATTTTTGTTTCTGGTGTCCTCGATGCCCTTGCCTTTCCTCTGCTGGCTGTGTCCTACCTGTCTGCTTTGTTGGACTTGAAGGTGGGCCTGAGGGGTCGCCGTTATTGAGATGACCTGACTCATCGATCACCTGTCACAGCTATGGATTAGCGCAGAGATCAATGGGACAGCCTTCTAGTCTGAAGTATAGCAGAGGGAGGCAGCAACTGCTTGATAATGGCCCGACCCCTGAGGTCCAGTGGTCTGTTTTGATCTGTGTGTGTGTGCGTGTGTGAGAGTGTGAGTACTCACTTCCTTTAATGCTTCTTAAATCAGGGTATGTGCTGGGTTATCAGTCACCAGGTCCCCGTATTGCTTTTTTATCTTTTTTCAACATGTCTGAGCATTCGTCAGCGTAAAGTATGTTGGTGCAGCGCAAACGTAGAACCTCTATGTCAGTTTCTTATGAGCTCAAACACAATCTGAAATATCTCTTCAATTTAAAGGATTCAAGGCCAGATTCATTTATTAGGAGACTCTGGGAATGAATGTCTTAAAACCCCCATTTTCACACAGGACACAACAAATAAATTACCCAAAACCAAGCGACATGCGGTGAACATGTGGGTTTTTGGGGTCACTGGGAGTCTTGCCCTGGTCACCCCAAGTGCCACCCAATTATCCTTACCTCTTCCACTAGAACTGTCTGTAATAGAGGCTATTGTGGGCTCAGTTTTAAAGTTAGCATGTCACGAGAGGGGGCTAAATGATGCTCCCAAGTTGGGCTACATTTTAGCGGTGGAAAAACTGACATGGCCTTATTCAAAGGGATCCCTTACCTCTGATCTCAAGATATCTGACCCATGAGTCACTCTTTTGCAGACATGTCCACTTTATACTTATCCCATGCAGTTTTGAATGGGTGCCTAAACAATATTGGAGTTGTATAAATTGGGAATGACTGAGACACATACTTACGGTCATCCCTGTGTAAGTCAGTGCCCTACTTGTGCCACCCCAGTCAAAAAAGGCTGGACATGTATCTGAAAAGGAGTGACCATCATCAACTCCATGAACAAAATGCATTCTGATGTAGCTGAAACATGACAAATTACACAATTTCTGTGCAATAATTCCTATATAGTACATGTATTCTGTCAAACTGAGCTCTTTATTACAGTAATTCATAGAAATCAAACATCACAGGCTGCCTGCATGCGTGTGAGTAAGCAAGATCCACACAGAGAGACAATTTATTATTTCCCTCAAATTTGTTATTATTTTCATTTTATTCAGGCTATACTTTTCCAGTTGTTTATTTGCAACTATTTGTTTTCCTTTCTATATCGTAGAAGCTACACAACCATTAGTTGTTTATTTTCTGAGTTATTGTAAACCTGCTTCCACATCACACATGTCAATACAACAAAATGTGCATTTTAAATCGAGAGAGACCAAATGCACTCACAAATTTAATTGACCAACAGATATTTAAACTGTCCAACCTTTGTGTCTACATGTTGATGTGATTCTCTATTCACTCTATTGACTGTCAGAAATTACACACAGTCTCATTCAGCACCTGAGGAATCCTTAAAACTACAGCAGGTAACTTTTTGTAATATTTGCTTTCACTATATCCTGACAGTAATACATGAGACATGTATGAATCCACTGCGCCTGAATAAAAAACATAAAGAAAACAGTTTACTGTTGAGTTTCATTCAAAAGAGACTCAACAATCATCTATTAAAGCATACTGTAGCCTGGGAATAAGACTCAACAATCAATTATCTGTCTTTCCTCTGATTGGTTGTTCTCATTCAGACATGGTGGATTCTATAAAGTACTATTAGGAGCACTAGGAGGAGCCAGAAGAACCTGATTTCTTCCACAGATTATCAGTCTTGTGTACTACTGTCAGGATATAGTGAACGGTTCAGCAGATATGACAGTTACCTACTGCAGCTTTAATGATAAAACACACACAGCATGATCACTGTAGACCATTTGCAGCCAGGAACTGCCCCCCTCCTGCGTCCCCCTGTCAGCCACTAAATGACACAGGCCTACTACCACAGTAAGTGCATATGCTGTTTTATTACTGGCTCAAGTATTTTCTCCCACAAAATGTCAGCGGAGTCAACAACCACCTGGCACTATACTCTTATATCAGCGTCATATCAAAGGTAGCATACTTGATATTATGTTTATCTGCTCTGCCTGATCACATATATAGCAAACTGAGCCGTGTGTGACGATACTGCTTTGTTTTGTAATGCAGGAAAATCTAATTGACAGACTCTCAAAGTGACAAATTATCCACTTTCTCTGCAAGAATTCCTATATTGTACATGTCTAGTGTTAAGGTGAGCTCTTTATTACAGTAATTCAGAGAAACTAAACACCACAGACATTTGCCACCGAAGGAATATCTTATGGGTAATAAAGACTGTAATTATCTAATCTCTGCACCTATTTTTTCCTTTCTTCACTGGTTCTCGGTCAATTTAATTGAAAATACAAATAAAAATACACATTATTTCAGACCAAAAACCAACGATTTGCAATGTTTTTTTTCCGAGTGTTGCATTTAAAAGCTTTGTTGTTAAAAGCAGTTACATGTTAGATGGAGTTACATCGTCTGTGTACAGTCTGTGGTACTGAAAGCTCCACAGTAGAAAAAGAAGAAGCAAAGCCCATCGGTACCGTTGAAACCTTTTTATTTTTTAAATCGTGGTTTGTATTTTGATTTGTTTAGTTTCTGATTTGAGGCGATCCAGAATAATGAGCTGTCACGCTGCTAAAAACTGTAACTACAATACAGTGTTTGAAAGGGGTTGACTATTTCTCCCACAATGCACAGTCCTAGCAACAGCAAAGTGTCAAGAGGGCCATTCTTTCTCTCTGTGTGTCACTCACTCACTCACACACACACACACACACACACACACACAAAAAAAACTTTTATTAAATCTGATAATATTTAGGCCGATATTTTTCTGATTTTATGATACTATACATGACGTCAATATCTGTCATTTCTTTACATTTCAGATGCTGGTACAGTTAGTGACCATAGATATACATAAAACATGTTCACCAAGCAATTCATTTAAATTAACCAGTTATTTAATCAATCAGGGTGTATGTAGTCATTAATCAGCATGTCAGTGGAGAGTGTTTAGTGTCCTATGGTCTAATTGCAATGTTAAAGGCTTTTACAGTCCAGTAAATATCCAGGTCCAGATTAAAATACTTAATAATATATATATTTTTAGTACATGAGCCTGAAAATTAAAAGAAAATCAAGCTTCATGTGAGCATTGACACACACACGTCAAAGCATATCTGTCTCACCCAAAATGGTTGAACCCATCTAACTCCATTTCCAAAACATGCCACTTCCATCACAACAATGCACCGACGTCAGACTGTTTTTTATTTTTTTTTGACTGTTTTTTATTTTTTTTTGCATAATCAATAACCCCCTCTGTATATTGACTGGGGGAGGAAACAACAGTCATTAACATCCTCACATACCAGATCTCGGCTGCAGGCTCGCAGCTGAAGGAGGCTCAGTGGATACCAAGCTATCTTTAGGACCCAGTGTGTGTCTCCTCCTCAGCCTTTGTAGTTTTTTGTGTGGAGATGAGGGAGACTGAGATGTGCTTCTTGCTTATCACGATTCACATCGAGCTTTTTTTTTGCCAGCTGAGGGGGGTAGTTGAAGAGGGAAGCCAGGGATCAGCTGCCACAACTGCTTGTTTTTTTTAATTATTTTATTATTTAAAAAAAAGAAAGAAGCTTTTATTCCATTTCTTTCCTTTTCATTGTTATACACACACACATATATATTTAATTTTGGGACACTATGAAAGCCAATGCATTTCGGGTGCATTCCTGCTGCTGACTAGGACTATGATTTATCAGCTTTGTTCTCATGACAGACTTGCACTCATTCAGTCTCATCACAACAGGAGAGAGCGGTGATTTGTCTTTAACTTTCTTGCATCTTCGACGATTCCAGCTGTAGCAGGTACTTTCTGCACTTGAGGTGAGTCTGTTTTGGATGAATATTTATATATATTTTTATTTTTCTTCTCCCCCCCGTTTCTCACTCAGACACAAAGGAAACGTTTATTTTATTATTATTTATTATGTGAGGAGGAGAAAGCGTGGGAGAGGAGCCTGGTCTCTCTTCCACGTTTTCTCTCATATCATTTTTCTGCAATTGATGAATTAAATGATATCGATAAAAAATTGGGGGAAGTCGCTTCAAATCGGTATTGATCCAATATTTATTTATTTTTTGGAGGGGGGGACAGTAATATTCAGTGAGTGGAGGCGTAGGTTGTGTCCGTGAATACTAATTGCTGTCAGTTGCTGTCTCTGCTCCTCTTCTGGGTCTATTTTATTTATTTATTTATTTATTTTGGCGTATTAAAGGGAATCCCCCAGAAATGGGTGATGGATTTAATGACTGTATAGGTCAGATATGAATCCACTGGCATGTCAAGCCGGTTAAACTCAGCCTCCATTCATTTACAGCGGCTGCCCCTTTGTGTGTAGGTGTTGAAGCAGCCATGTGGAGCAGAGAGAGCGCTTCTCTACTTCTCATCTGCCTGCTGGCGCTCACAGCTCTCTGGAAAACCAGGTGAGTCTTTTGAATGGGAGACGCCTTGAAGCGATGATCCCTGAACTGTAGGACCGAGGATCACTCACTGTGTCTCCGGGGACGGACTGGGGGTCTCAATTTATCAAGTTTTTTTATTTATTTATTTATTATGCTGGATTCATTATCAGTGGGGATCAATGCGCAGGAGCAGAGCCAGTTTACCGCCTTCAGTATCCTCAGTCTGACCATAAAAATAACCCCCGAGGGCATGTGGGTAATTATGTATCTGGTATAGTGCCTTTGTTAAAAATGCATATTGCAAGTACAATTTCTAATGGGGACCTGGTTTCCAAGGTTATTTGATATTTGCTATTCCATTTGTGATAGAAACAGTGAAAAGGAAGAATTAAAATGACTCTTTAATAAGGTATTATTTGTTGTTTTAATTGCCTTTTTTCTATAATTTACGATCATAGCTATAGCCTGTATCAACCTTGAAATGCAATTTTGTGACCAAATGGCTTTTCTTCCAAGGACAATACAACTATCAATAAATCAGAATCTGGTTTTATGGGCAAGTAGATTTTTTTTTATGTAAAGGGAATTCGCTTTGGTGTTTTGGTCCATAAAAATAAAAGAAAAAAGTCAAGTAAGTTAAGATTCATAATAATAAAACAGACATTTACAAAAAAAATCTGAAAAACAAATCAAAATCATCTTGAATTACTATAAACTGAAATGCCTGAAAGTGTGTCTAACCTTCAGTTTTTTTGAAGCAGGCACCCCTAGAGGCTGTTTTATCAGAGGACATCTCACATTATCACATCAGGTGTAAAGGTGTCTTTTGATATAGGGAGTGACAGTTTAGGTCATCCGAGTGCTTACACTAAAGGACAATTGACAAAAGAAAGAAACAGTCAATGTCAGAAGCACGAGAGGCAATTCAAATAAGGCCACTGAATCCCCTCGAGGCTCCGCTATGTCCCCACTGACGTACAGAAAACTTGTCTGGGCCAAATTGTCCATCCTATCATCTAGTGCTATATAGGCCTTTTCAGACGACATTTTGACATCTCACCACAGGAAAAATACAGCAAAAAGTGTAAAAAAATAAAGGTTTAATGTGGCTGAATTCCATTTAGCATCTTCAGTTTCAGGGTCCAGGTTTACTGGGACACTGGAACAGAACAGGACCATTGTTGACGTTATTAACACCAACGTAGAGAGTATAAGTATAAATGTCTGTTGTGAAAAAGGGCTTTTTAAATCATGTTGGCAGAATGGGAAGAACAGGAAAACCACACAATTTATAGGTAACATGTAAAACCAGATACAAACTTACTACTTATGTTGAATTTTGTGAATTAGCTTTATTGTAATGGTGTTAAAATTACATTTTCTTTAGATGTAACTGTCAAAAACAAGATGAGGTCTGTACAATACAGCATGAAATAAGATAAATAAACAAGATTATAAATGTAAATATGAAGAGGGAGGCACTTGAATGAGCAGGTAAGGTAATATGATGAACACAGCATAATAACATTTATAAAACGCATACCAGTATCTGTAATTGTTATGCATGATCTGATCAAACCTTGAAAACTAGCTAGCTAGTTAGACAGATCATGTTAACATGAAACAATAAGAAAAAATGCTGTTGATTAATCTATAATTATGGATAAATGTGAAAATGTAAGTTATATCTTCCACCCAAGGTCTCATGCAAATGCTAATGGAGGTTTAATGGTGATTTGATATGTGCTCTGATGCTATGCTAACAGAGCCTTAAAAATATGATTTAAATGTGGTAAAATGCTGTTGCAGTACTAGTAGAAGAACATACTTGAAAATAAGAAATCAAATATTCTATTAGGTTATAACGCCAGTAAGTAGGCTACATTAATCGAACACTTTCTCTGGTGGTTATTAAAAGAATATGTTCCAAACTGAAAATACATTATAAACATTATATATACATTTTATTTTGCTGCTTATAGTAACATATGCCCATAACCTGAGGCTGTTACACCAGAGCTGTCGACAGTGGTAATTATGTGGAGCTTTAATGTAGGACCTTATCAGAATTTATTTATTTACCATGAATCTCTAGCTCTGATTACATTTGCATATTCAGTTGTGTTTTGGCTCCAAGATCAGATGGCTCACAAATGTTCTGCCTTGAACTGGGTCATCCATGTGGCTGAGAAACAATGTCTATGTGTGTGTCTGTGTGTGGGTATGTATGAAATCTGCCACATAATAACAACCTCCTTTTCCCCCCATAAATCAGGCCTCTGAGTTATGAGTCTAAATACATTTAAAATGTAAAGGTTCAGTTTGTTTAGAAGGATCTATTGGCATAAATTGGATATAATATTCATTTCATTAGTGTATAATCACCTGAATATAGGAATTATTGTGTTTCTGTTGCCTTAGAATGAGACGTTTTTATCTACAGATGCGGCCGCCATGTTGAGCTGCCATGTTTCTACAGTAGCCTCAGAACAGACAAACCAAACACTGGCTCTAGACTTGGAAAGGGGAGGGTGAAGCGAGGGAGTTTCAATCCGCAACTGAGTCGCTAGATGCCATTAACTCCTACACACTAGTGTCTTTAATCAAACAAAAGTTGAAGTGTCTGTTATCATGTCATCGTGTGTCCGCCAACTAGGTCAGTGAATGCCGATGCCACATCTGATGCCTTTAAAACCAACATCACCCTGTTCACACGGATCCTGGACAGCCTGCTGGATGGATACGACAACCGTCTACGGCCTGGTCTTGGGGGTAAGGCAATGACCTTTTATCACTGGATGTACAAAACTTCATCATTTGAAATCTTCACTTTTTAGATCTTACTATCTTACTTACTCATTTAAAGTTGTGCTTCCATTTGTTACGAAACAGTACGTCTCTTTTTTAAACGGTTGATGGCTCATTTGGAGTGAGAACACTTCATTTAACATCAGCTTTTGTAGTACAGATAAGCTTTTGGCAGCAATCCCCTCAAGAATAAACTGACAAACACACTCTGTGCAGAAAACATTTAGGTTATATAACACTCACTCCACTTCCTGGAAAGTAACAACGGCCAAACTGGCCACATTTAACCCCACAGAGGGATATATTCTCGCTTGAGTTTTTCTGGTTTGTTTCTGCTGCATGGTTGTAATGCTAGTCTGACTGTAGGGTCGTGGTTGAAGCAATGTCAAAGTAATATGTCGGAAATTTGGAAAAATTTAGCTAAACAATTGTTATATTTTATTCACTGGTCATTTCATCCAGCGGTCTATTCCTTTATAACCTAAAGGAGCAGTTTTAATAAAACGCGACATTCAGAGTTGATTTCTTTTGTAGTGTCTACGCATGGTCAGACCCAGAAATTGCAGTATTCAGAGTAGATTTTGGAGAGTTTGCACTTTGAGGTGCACAGCCTGAAAGCTTTAGTCTTTCTGTAATTATTGGCTGAATGGTTACTGTTGATTCAATGGAAATCTACCAAGCCTCCATCACACTCTAAATGGTTAAGACAATGTTATAAAATAGCTCAAGCTCGAAAAACTAGGAGATTTTTCAAAGCATTTCATCTTCTACTTTGAAGGAAATTTGCATTAAAAGATGAATGAAGCATATTTTCCCTGAAACCCCTTTCCCACCCCCAACCATCAGTATATCTGACAGTTTTATATATATATATATATATCGTGGTGAGTGCGTGAGAGTTTGGGGGGCGGATATATGCACTTGATGTAGGTGGGTGAGGTAGGCTACGTAGTGGTTTTGTGTTTGGTATATATATATTGCACGAGTATTTGTGCATTAGGTTTAATCCTACATGTTGGAAAGACATAAAAAGATTTACAAATAAAATATTCAGAATCAAATATAATTACAAATAGTATATTAAGTTTCCTGAGCTTCTGAGAGGTTTGATAAATTGAAGCTGCAGAAGCATTACAGGCTTCAACATTTTCCCCACTCTGTGTGTGTGTGGAGGAGAATCACATCTTCTCCTATGGCTACAGTGCTTCCCTCTCCATCGTCACCTCTCCCATCTCATCCTCCATGTTTGGCATCTCATTTCCAGCTGGCCCCTCACCCCAAAGCTGAGCTCCTCCCTCAGGATTTGGTGCCATTTGAAATTCAAATTCCTGGGGCCATCAGCCCAGCCCAGGAGCTGCCATATGGGGAACAGACCTCCTTTAGCTTGGCAGCACTCAGCCTGTACAACTGGACCTATACATTAGTGCTGTTTGCTTTTTTTCTGTGTAGAAAAGGCATTAATGTTTGGCCTATTACTACACTGCTGCTCAGATACATATCTTACTTTGTCACAGCCTGTTTCCATCAAATATGGTTTATGCACCAAAATCTATACTTAATCCCTGAAATATATAAACGGAGAGTACATTTCTGATTTAGATTGTTGTAGTTCATTGGAGATTTATGGAATGGAATCAATAAAACTATATTGATTTTTACAGAGAAACTACATTATAGCTTGGGGTTTGTTTGTTTTTTGGTATCTTTCCATAATAATGTTTCAGCATATTGTAATTCTGTGTCGTGGTCTGAGAGAAAACTAGACTTCTGCACATCCTCTTGGCTCTGTTTTCAGGCTTTAGACAATATATCCTGTGATGGGAGACTTCAGCCAATCACAGATTATTTCAGAGAGAGGGTGTTTCTATTAAGTCTGATTTAATGGTGGAAAATCCTACACAAAATTCAACAACTTGTGATGCATTTCCAATACCGCCTTTGCCTACAAAGGCGTATAGTACAAGAAATGTCACTGTGATGCCGCTTGGATCAACTAGTGGCAAAAGAGCATGATGACAAACAGTAAACAACTTTTGAGGGGGGTCAGTGGTGTGTATCCCTGCCTGGTGTACTAGTCGTGCAGCTTTCACTGGCACAAAACTGAGCATTTCCTTATCCATGTTATTAGATGTCGGTGTGACAGTACCCCTTTCCAGAGAAATCAAGTTCTCCACTTTTTCTTGCCCATCACCGCCACAGCAGAGAGTTTTTGAGGCAGTCAAAAATGATGTCTGGACCATCTTCTCATCCAGCTGTTCTGTTGATTTATGCTGCCTTTTTCCGATTGATAGCCAACCAACCCTACCTCTAACCCTAACCCTAACAAATGTGCTTTCACAGAAACACTAAGTAGCACATTTCTTATCTATTTGACCTTTATTTTACCAGGAAGTCCCATTGAGATCAAAAATCTCTTTTATAAGAGAAACCATATTAAAATACAACATAAACAACATGATATACACAAAAATCCAAAATAAAACACAAACTATTCAAACACAGTGGCTTCTCAAGAAAAACAACCAAAAGCCTCTGTCATCACATTCTTAAATTCATCAAAGGATATTAACTAATTTTAAACATTGACAGTGACAGTGACAGGTAGCACATATTGACAGAACACTCGCATTGCAGCTGCCTGTGAAGCTTGAGATGTTCTGTCTTGGGTCCACGGAGCGCTGTCGGGGCGTCTTTGAGAGGACGAGTTGCGGTAAGATGGTCTTGGCAAACCCTACAAGGCAAAAGGTTTCGCATTGCAACCGACTCCTTCTGCTGGCATTAGAACTTCTAGGTTTGGTGGCAGGGCCTTTAGAGGAGTGATACGAAGCAGCAGAGAAAGGCAGAAGGTTTTGCTTTCTGCAGTTTTAATTAATGATTCTCCACCAACAGACAGCTCTGTCTTTAACATGATCCCTGCCATGTTAAAGACAGAGATCAGTGATCTGAAATAAAACACTTGAATAAAACATTCAAACACAAATTAGGCGCTTTCATCTTAAGTGTCTTACAGTACAATGAGCACATTCATTTTTATCAGGATTTGGCCCCAGTGGAAGCCCAAACCCCAACACTAAAGATGTAGCACCATGACTGTATCCATTAACGTACACAGAGGCAACATCATGGTGCAGAATTCAGTGGAGAAACAGGAACATGGCATCAGATGGAGGTTTCCACATCGTAGACACATTAGGTTTGTGTGTCACATCTGTGGGAAAAACATGTTAATGCTTCACTGGACTTTGGTTTATAACACATTTATAAAGGCTGCAAAATGTGTCTAATCAAAGCTGCACATGTGTACATATAGTTTATTCAAGGATACAGTGTGAATCCCTTTGACAGTTTCCATGGTCTGAATGGTGTGCTACCAAAACAAGAGCCTGAATCCCGATGTAGCTAATATATTTACTGTACGTAATGTCTCTGTATGAATTTTTAAATATTAAATTATTTATTTACAGCCAGAATTACAAAATGTACTTTACTGCGCAGTCATTTCACTCAGTGGCGGTGTCGTCCCTCCGCCACATGATAATTTAAATAATAGAAAACAGCAGTTTGGGACACGGCCTGTGGACAAAATAACACAAAATAAGGAACACCTGTGTAATGTAATGCAATAACAAGATCTCAAACTACAATTAAACATTTAAAAGCTTCTTAAAAGTAGAATCAGTTACAGGTTGCCATAGATTGCATTAGATTGTACACAAAATGATACGATCCTATATCGAGGCTGAACACTGAGTTACAGTTTACATGTTGTGACATTTAAATCTATCCTGATGAGCGCGCTGCCGTTTCTTACTGTAGTGAACGAGAGCTGTGAGTTCAAACAGTACATCCTCCACAAATGATAAAGATGGAAAAGATGAATCTAGGGCAGGGGTTTTTCAAGATGAACCCTGGTCCCCTTGGGGCTACTAGAAGGTTTCAGGGGATAGAAAAACTGTAATTGTTTCAACAATGAATGAATTACTGTGTGGGTTTAGGCTGCACATTTCTCTTGAAGTTATTTATAGAAAATACAATATAGCCACAGCCATTTGATGGCTAAACAGGCCTCTTGCGTTCATTTTATCTAATATAGAGCCTATATCGTAACTACTGTGGACTAAATTGTATCCGTAACAGGTTTAATTCAGGATTTCTTTTCCTACTCGTCGCCTGTTTTAAGTGTTGAAGCAGTACCAAGCTCTTTTAAAATGCACCAATTGGTTTCTGTCACTTACACTGAAATCAAGCCAGGCTGCAGAGAGTGAATGCAGAAAACACAGTTGCTCCCACATCATCATTAGTGTGACTGCGAGGCAGTTCACTTCTGTTCATATTCACACTTCTGCTTCTAATTTGTTTCCCACCCCAAAAAAATTGTCATCTAACTATGACTTCATGCTCAGAGCTATGTTCCGGCTTTATAGCACCACCAAGCAAGTTTTTTATGTCAAACAAATGTTTAAATTAAAAAAAAAAGGGTCTTGGTTAGTCTATCCATGCATCTGTTTATAGAAGAAGCAAAAGTTAGAATGAATCTTTAAAGCTGCACTAAGTCCAGTATTTATTATATATCTATATTATATTAACATTGGGTCAAATATGGCTCTGACTATGTGTGATGTGAAAGGTGTCGCTCGTAGTAACAAGCCCACAGATAATTATCAGTAAACTCTGCTGTTCAATTGGGGAGTGTTAGCATCTCTATTAAAATAAATAAAAGCTCATTGTTTTGGTTCAATGCAACAGTCAACCCTGTGAAATCCATAAAAACCAGAAACACAAGTCCAGATGATGCTAATGTTGCTTCGTGTCAACTGGTTCTGTAAACAGGCAACAGGTTGCTAACACAGCTAACTCACCGAGTCCCACTCTTGTTATAGTGACCTTCGTTTGTATGATGAGTAAAGTAAATGAGTAAATTGACAACATCTGACTAAGTGACATAATTTATGGATATTTTATAT